TCAGTGCCGCTCCTGAATGTACTTGAAGTCGGTCGCCCCCTCACCGCCGAGGGCCACCATCAGGGTGTACCCGCTGGATTGGGAGGCCAAGACCGGAGCCTTCGCCAATAGTGGCCCGGCCGGCCTCAGATGCCGGGTCCCGGCCGGCCCGCCACGCTCGACGTTCCGGTCCCCGGCTCCGCGCAGCCAGGTGCACATTCCCGGCACCGAGGCGTATCCTTGCACCGAGATGGCGGCCCAGGCGCGTGGCCCGCCCCCGGACGCCGTCGGGACAGCTGCCGCCAGGGGAGGAGCGTCGGCCTGGGGTTCGGCCGCGGCAGTGCGAGACTTAAAGAGATGCCCGAAGCGACCGCGCTTGGCGGGATGGACGTTCGCAAGTTGTTCCGGCGCCGAGGCCGGGGCTGGGGCCGGGGCCGGCACGTTGCCCCCTCCAGCCGTCTGGTCGAGGGCCGCCTCCTGCAGGGCAAGCAAATTAGACCTTCCATCGGTGACGGGAGTGGTCAGTCACAAGAGTGTGGCAATGTGCCATTCTGCGTGCTTTCGCCCATGAGCAGAGAGGGAGGGGCGGGGGAGAGGCGGGGCAGTACGTACTGGACCTCTCCGACGAGGGAGCGGATGGCCCCGGTGGCAAGGGGCCCATGCGGTAGCGTGTGCGAGACAACTGGGTCCCGGCATGCGGGACATCCTCCGGTGTGAGTGGGCGTTGGACTAGGCGTGCAGCTGATCGTCCAGATGCCAGGCAGGAAGGCGGAGCGCACCCAAGCAATTCGTCATGAAGGCCGATACGCCCGGCTCATAGGTGCTAATGTATGTCATCATGGAGTCCGTCACCGGCGGGGGTCTTACGGGCGGCGGCCGGCCGAGGGGCAGGGGCAGGCGGAAGGCAAGATGGACGAGGGGGTAAGTCACTGCATGATCGGGCACAAGGGGGTGCACCCTGTCTCTTCCTCCCTCCCCCCCCCACACAGACACACGCTGGCACGGTAAATAATGAAAGAGACATTCGGGGGTTTCCGCCCCCGCAGTCTGGCGCACTTCAATCCACCGATCGCCACAACACCCAGCCATTCAACCAGATCCGAGATGTCAGCCGGCGAGAGGGGGGTCTCGTTGTCGAGGGCCGGCCAGGCCGGGGCGGTTACAGGTGAGTAGGCGAATGCGCCATCTGCCACGCGGTACAGATCGTCGTGAGTGAAGATGCCCACGTTGCTGGTTGGCTCAATCGGAGTGAGGAACCGCTCCATGGTTGCTGGCGCGCCTTCGAGGGCGGACGGGAAACAGAGAGAGAGAGAGAGAGGGAGGGAGGGATAGAGGGGGACGCAGGAGGCGCGCCGGTGAGGGAGGCGGACTCAAGTAGACCGGGGGAATGTGGTGCATGCATGGATTAGAGTGGATTTGGCGCACCTTGGGTCGAGGCCGAGGAGGCGGAAATGCGAATGACATTGTGTTCCGATGCCGGCAGGATGTGATTCAATGTGCGGCGACATGCGGCGGCGAGCTCACGGATGGTACTCTGGTTGGCAAGTGAGCCGGAATAAACTACATCCATAGGGGGTGTATGGGTGTGCGTGCGTACGTGTGTGTATGTGTGTGTGTGTGTGTGTGTGTGAGAGAGAGAGATTGTGCATGTGCGTGCGTGCGTGTCAGTCGGCCTCCATGCCTGGGACCGGGGCATATCTCCAATACGCACCGTAATGGGAATCTCCCGGGGCCACGGGGACACCAACCAACCCGGCACGATGGTAGGCGGCCCGATCGAGAAAGACATACACAAAGCCGCGAACCACGGCAAACGAGAAATACCCGGCGACAGCCTCCCGGAGATGGGGCGAGGCGGTGTCCTGCGCGATCCCGGCAGCATCATGCACCACAGGCGACTCGGCCTGCAGGAGGAATGGCCCCTCCGAGAGGGCGCTCAGGGTGCCGGCCGCGGCCGAGCTGGCCAGCCAGTCACGGAAAGCCTCATCGGCGGGGGCACCATCGGCTCCAAGAAAGTCACGAAGCCGCAGAACAGTCGACGTGAAGCTGCCCTGATGGGAGGTGGCCGCCGGGGCAAGACGCAGCCGGGCCAGAGGAGGCGAGTCCATGCTGGTCGGCCCCGGAGCAAAGTGCTGTTCAACGCTCGGACTCGGTTGAGCCGTCCTCAGTGGCACGACATAGACGACACTCGCCTGTGCCAAGTGCAAGCATGCGCGTTAGATGGATGGATGGATGGATGGAGGGGTGGTCGCGCGATGGGTCTGTCTCCGGACGCACCGACCGGCTAAGGACATGCTCGGACATCAAGGCTTCAACGGCAGCAGGCAGGGGAGCCGCTGTGTCAGATGGGCCGGACACGCTGGTCGAAGGGGCAGGACGCTTGTCGGGGCCCGGTGTGTGGAAAGATTGCGGCCAGGCACCAGGCGCGTAGGTCCGGTATGGCTCGGTGGTGTGACCAAGCAAGTGGGTCATCCTGGCGACGTGCACGCGCGGCAAGGTCCCGCCGAGTTTGTGCGTGCGTGCGTGCGTGTGCGTGCGTGCGTGCGTGCGTGTGTGTGTGTGTGTATGAGAGAGAGGGAGGATGTGCACGTGTGCGCGTGTGGCGCGTATGCGTCCGGACAGGGGAAGGAGAGGTGAAGGAAGTAAGGGAGGAAGGGCGCGTGGCGGGCGGCATATTAGACGAGATCTCGCGACGGGGTAGCTTCTGGGTATGGCCCGACATCTACTGGGGAGGGGGGGGGGGGAGGCGTTCGAGAGATGCAAGACGATGCGTGTGGGCTCCCGGATGGGAGGAGCGCGTGGTGCGGGGCCGGGGCACGGGCAGGCATCCCCAGCAGAGGCCCAAAGTCGGCACCTCGCGCCGCGCTGCCGATCAAGGCGCGCAAGGTGCTCCCTCTGGGTGGATGCACGTGACATCTAACATCAGCCGGGCAGTCTCCGCTGCCGCTGGGCCGGCCCCTCGCCGCTTGTCCTGCTCCTCTCTGGCGGGCGTGTCGTCTTCCTCCTCTTTCCCGCCGTGTGCGGGGTGGCGGGGGCGCCGGTGCTGGAGGATGGGTCTGCCCCCTTTTTCTCCCGCCGAATCTCTGCTCTTTGGGGCGGTCCAAATGAGAAGCCGCCCACCCATGACAAGCGAGTGTGTGTGTGTGTGTAGAAAATACATTATATTTATTGAGGGGGAGGGGGGACACTGTACAACAGGGAAAGCAAGGAGGGGGGAGGGGACGCAGGCAGGAGGGCACTGTGCCACGCATTGTGATGTAGGGATCTTTCTGATGCCACGGGCACCGGAGAGGGGGAGGCGAGAGGAGACGGACGGGGAGAGGGGGGCGTGCCCCATCGCCCCCCCCGCACACACTGCGCCGCCCTGCAGATGGGCTCTAAGGAGGTGAGGTCAAGGGTGCACTCTCGTGGGAGCGCATCATACACCACCACCAGGGGAAGTGGGAGAAGGGGGGGGGGGGAGAGGAAAGCACGGAGAGGGAAGGGGCGGCAGGGGAGGGGGGTGACGTATGGCCCACACCGCATGAGGACGAGTGGACGGGGCGCGACATCCCCGCCCGGTCTTTACCCTCCCCCCCGCCGAGGCAGGACAGAGAGAGGGGGAGGAGGACGAGGGAAAGCCAGCACACGTGCGTGCTTACTTGCGCTCAGCCGGGATGGTCAGAACAGCGGCCTCGTGGGTGTTGGTGGACGGGTCATCGACGACGAAGAGGACCTCCTCGGTGTCAATGCCGGCGGCCGGCTTGTTGGCGGTCTCATCCTCAGCCTCGGTGATGACGATGTGCAGGTCATCAAGGTCGTCGGCCTTCTTCTCGGCAGGGACAGGAGCGGCGGCGGTGGCGGCGGCGGCGGGCTTGGGCTCGGGCTTCTTGATCTCGATCTCGGGCATGACCACGGTCGGGACTGCAGGTGTGCGCGCGCATACACACAAACACACACACACACACAGGCAGGAGCGAAAGGGAGGAGGCGGAGGCACGGGGATATGAGTGTCAGAGCACGAGGCAAAACGGCGGCGAAGGATGGGCAGACAAAGGCCCAGCCCAGCAGCAGGGGCGTGCGTGCGTGCGTGCGTGCGTGCGCGTGTGTGCGGCCGCCGCCGCTGGAGGGAGGAGGACACGCACCCTTGGAGTCGGCCACGATGACCACATAGTCGCCATACATCTGGGCCAGCTTCTCAGCCAGGGAGAGCTTCGAGTCGGCCGGGAAGACGGCATGCGAGAGCAGGTGCTCGGCGGCGTCCTTGGACACACCGAGGACAAAGTTGCCGGACAGCAGACCAGTCAGGGCCAGGACCTCGGAAGTGTTCTCGAAGGGGAAGCCAGACCAGGCGACAAAGACGCGACCATCCCCGGCGGCGGGAACCGGCTCGCCCTTGGACTTGGCCAGGATGGCCTCGCGCACGACCTTCGGGTCGGCACCATCCTCCGGGCGGACCGAGTAGTACCCGCTGTTCAGGAACTGGTAGAGGTTCTTCAGGAAGACCCGGCCGCCGGCCATCAGCCAGACGGACTCGCCAGCGGTGCCGAGGGCCACCGGGATGACCGGGGCCGCCGAAGCGGCAGCCTTGTTGCCGGACAGGGCAGGGACCTCGGCATCGGCGGCAATCTGCTTCAGCAGGGCGGCGCGGTCCGGGGAGTTGGCAAAGAGGGCGGTGATCTCCTTGGCGGCCAGCAGCGACTCGGCCGAATACTCGGGCTTGGCCAGGCGGTTGGCGGTCGGCCCGGCGAAGATGTGCACCAGGGCGGTGGCCAGGGCGGCCGGGACGGTGGCCAGCTGGTCGATGGAGATGGCCAGGTTGGACAGGTCACCGGCGAAGATCTTCATGGCCTCGGACACGGGGCCGGCCGGGAGGGCGGCCTTGGAGGCGGCGGCGGCCTTGGCGGCGATGATGTCATCCAGCGGCTGGTACGGGGCAAAGATGCTGTGCAGGGCCTTGAGCTCGGCAGTCGGGTCGCGATCCTCGGCGGCGGCCTGGGCGGTGATCAGCGACTCGAGGGTCAGGGCCCGCGGGGTGTAGGGGGAGTAGCCAAGGGACGAGCGATCGTCGGTCTTGCTCTTCATGGAGAAGCAGGCCAGCGCGACGGCCGAGACGATGGTGGCGCCGATGATCCAGCGGTTGGGGGAGCTCATGCCGGAGCTGGCGGGGGCCTGGCCAATCTCGGGGGCAGCCGAGGCGAAGGCGCTGTTTGGTGGCCGAAGCAGGAGAGGCGCGTGTGTGTGTGTGTGTGGGAGGGGAGAGGAGGGGAGAGGGAGAGAGAGTGAGCAAGAAGAATGTAAGTTGACGGAACCGGGAGCCGTGTGGAAGGAACCGAGAGGCGTATGTACCGGCGAGGGACGGCAGTGAGGCTGCGGGTGGGCAGGGAAAGGGCACGGCGGAACATCCTGGATGAAAGATCCACTGGGAGGGCACTCGACGTCTTCTGAGCGGCGGCGAAAGAAAGAGAGAGGAAGGGGGGTCAGCAGGAGACAGGGACGAAGGAAGGAGAGGGGGGGGGGAGGAGGGAGAGACAGGGAGTTGGGCACACGGCCTCGCGGGCGACCCGGGAGGGAGTGTGTGCGTGTATGTATGTGTGTGTGTGTCTGCCTTGTTGCCTGGGACAGAGGAGCGGCGGGCGCATTTTCCGCAGCAGCCATGCCGAATAGCTCCAGCGCTCACGAGAAAGGGCGAGGGACATGCCGGCCCGGGCCGGCCAAAGGGACGGGTGTGGCGGCTGCCAGGCCAGCGGGGTGGCGGTGATCGGCTCTCACCGGGGCCAGCCGGCGGCGCGAAAGTGGGCAAGGGAAAGGGGCGAAGAGCGAGGGGCGAGCGGAAAGGGCGGAGGGCGGAAGGGGAAGGGGAGGGGGAAGAGGAGGGAGGGAATCGCACAAGGAAGGAGCGAGCGAAGCAATCCCGAATTGTCTGCGACGGTGCGGCGCGGGCCTGGTGCCAGGCTGGCTCTTCAGAGGGGAGGCAGCGGACCGGCGAGAGGAGGGGACAGGGCTCTGGCAGAGGGGGCCGGATGACACCAACCGCCAGGGCGAGGGCATTACTCATGCCGGCAGTCTATATTGGACGGGGGGCGGGCGGGGGGCGGGCGGGGTCGCACCATCCGAGACGGAGGTATCCAACTCTAGACGCGCTGGGCTGACCAGCAGCAGCCCACGCCGACCCTGGCCGAAGGCTCCGCGCGTCACCTTGCCCTGGCAGACACGGGCCGGTGCCTGGCGCAGGCCTGCCAACCGTGCCCGGCGCGCACCCGGGGGGGGGGGGGGGGGGGGGGGGGGGGGGGGGGGGGGGGGGGGGGGGGGGGGGGGGGGGGGGGGGGGGGGGGGGGGGGGTAGAAGGGAGGGCGGCGAGGCAGGGGCATCTGCTCCTGACCACACAAGTGCCGGCCGCACATCCACATCGGCGCGTCCTACTCCAAAGGTCTTCCGCATATGCCAGAAGGGTCGCCGCCTGGGGCGGGGGCACACCTGACGGCCTCGGGTCGCGCATCGCCATCTTGGTGCGTAGGGACTTCCGAGCGGAGAAAAACCCTCTCCGGAGAACACCCCCCCGAGCCGGGAAACCCGCCCCCCCACCTGGGAGCGGCTGATGGACGAGGCGGGTGTCTATCTCTCCCTGTCTGTGTGCGATGTATGTGCGCGTGTATATTTTGTGTGCGGTGTTTGGCCAGCCCGCCGGCCCGGCCGCGGGCCCGAGGGGAGAACCAGCCGGAATCAATATTCCAGCCAGCGACAATCAGCGGAATGCTATTTAGACGCCCCGCTCACGGGACCAATCCGAATCAGCCGTGCTGCTTTTGTTGGGGGGGGGGGGGGGGGGGGGGGCGAAGAAGGATGCAGGGCATCTTCCGTGCTCACGCCCGTCTGGGGGGATGCGGAAGGACAACACCGGGCGTTTGAATATCCGCGCCTGAGCCGCCCCGGGCGATTACAACGCCGTGCTGCTACTTGGCCATCTTCGAGCCCCCCCCCCCCCCCCCCGCCTCCTCCCCGTCTCCTCCTGGCAATGCTGGGCCAACTGTTGTTTTTCTTTTGTTCTTGGGGAGTTTCATCAATTGAGCTATGTTACAAAGGAGGCACAGCCGCAGGGCGGGCGGCGGGAAGGCAAGCCGCCCCCGAGCCTCAGGTCCTGCGCCGAGCAAGGCACGATGGCAAGAAAGCACCGCAGCAGCAACAGCGGCGGCGGCGGCGGCGGCGGCAACGAAAGGGGCGCCTGAAGGCAGGGCAGGGCGCTGGACCTTTTGTGTGGAAGACCGTTCACTGACTGTGGGGTGTGGCGAGAGGGGTGAGAAAAGGCGGCTTTGCCGGGAGCTGCCTCGCCAAAGGACCGACACCGGGGCAGACGCCGACACAGGCAGTCGAGGGCAAAAGGGCGAGAGGGCGCACATCAGGGCACGGCCGATCAGGCGCGCGGTCGCAAAGGCCGTGCCGACCATCTGCTCGCCGAGGCTGCCGCCAGAGCCGTCCGGCCCAGACGAGGAGGAGGATCCCTGGCCACCAAGGGCATCTGGATGCCGGGCAGCGACGCGTGCGGCGATCTGGGCCCCGTCAATCTCCAGGAGGATACTGAGGGGCGGGGGGGGGGGGGGGGAATGGAGTCAGTATGCATGCTCACATGTATGGATCGCGGAGCGAGCGTGCTCTTCCATGTGTGAACACGCACCCGCCGTCAACCGCCTCGTCGATGGCCAGCAGGGCCAGATCGTAGTAGTCGATGATGACCGACTTCTCCAGGTGGAATCTGTTCGGCTTGTCGGTCAGTGGCTGTGCATCCACGTGCAGGGGGGGGGGGGGAAGGCACCTGGCGGACGTACTGCAGCAGGCTGTTGAGGGCATCGGCCAGGGCACTGAGGGAAGTCCAAAGGGCGAGCTCATTCTCGTGCTCCGGGGCCACCATGGCCAGGATCAGGTCGCGCGAGGGGCGGTAAGAGACCAGCATCGGAGGGAGGTGCATGATCTCGCCGTCTGTCGACCGAGGCGGATACAGGCAGGGCGGAGGAGAGAAGCCAGAGCGAGATGATGGCGTGTGTGTGCGTGTGTGTGTGTGTGTGAGGGAGACAGACAGAAGAGAGCCGGAGAGGGGGGGGGGGCGAGATGCGCGTGAATGCGGCGGCAGGGGGCTGCCGGCACTTGATCAGACCCACGGGGGGCCGCAGGGGGGCACACGCACGGGGGAGGCGCCGAGCCTGATCGCAGACGCGAGCCTCGAAGGAGCGCTGCCCCTCGAGAGTGGACAGATCGATGACGTCCTTCCGGGACTTTTGGGTCTGCTGGCGCGAGCCACCGTTGTTGGCGGCGGAGCGCCCGGCATTCGGCAGGGCTGGCGGGTCGTAGTAACGAGCCATGATGCGGTTGCCCGCCGAGTCCAGGATCATCACGCCACGAATGGACGCCAGCGAGGTGTTGCTCATCGGGGCAGACATGGCTGGAGGGGGAGGGGGCGCTTGGATGGGGCGGATCGAGGGCAAAGGAGGGAAGAGGGGAGGGAGGGGAGGGAGGGGAGGGAGGGAGGAGAGGTGGGCGGAGGACGGGACAGAGGGAGCGTTAGCTGCCGGAGCAAGAGGGCCAGCGGCGGAGGTGTCACTTTTCTCGCCGGGCCCGGCCGGTAGTCGCCGGTCCGGCCCGTGGAAAGCGCCCCTGCCTGGCGGGCGGCCTCGACATCCGCTCACTAGCCAAATGCCCGCCGAGTCCCGTCACTCGGGCGGGGGGGGGGGGGGGGCTTTGGCTGCCGTGTCAGATAGTTTGCAGCCGAGGGGGACCGCTGTTCCCCGAGGTCATGGGCCCCGATATGGTGGTACTCTCTGTTGTCTGCGCCCCCCGGCCCCACCGGCCCGGCCCGGTTTTCCCCCCCCCCCCCCCCGGCTCCCGCCGCCGCCTCCACCAGCGGGTCCAACATTAATTGACGACAAATGCCAACTCTCCGGGAATAGCATAGATCGGCATCTAATCGATCTGGCTCCGATTGTTTTCCTTGCCGGATTGTGTTGCCGCCTTGCTTGGGGGGCACACTCCCCGGGCGCGAAGCCCGCCGCCCTGCCATCTTGCCCCGGGCGTGCGGCCGGCGCGAGCTCCATCTCGCCCAATCTCCGTTCTCCCTCCGCCAGTCGGCTTTTCTTTTGTCTTTCCCTTTTTTTCCCTCGAAGATCTATCTGTATTGGGACAGGGCGCGTGCGCCAGGGGAATAGGCACATTCCCCGGCGTGGGGTTCGGTTGCGCGCCGCGCTTTCCTCCTCACCCCTTTGCGCCTCCTCTGCCCGCAATCTATCTAGCTTGTGTGTGTGTGTATGTATGTGTGTGTGTGTGTGGCAGAGTGCGAAAAGGTTGGACGCCGGGGCCAGGGAGAGAGGGCGAAGTCCGCAGTGTGGCACGCGCATTGCCCTGCGCATCCCCGCACCACTCCTCGCCGGCTCTGCCTACATGGTGCGGCGGGCCTCGGTGCCGCATGCATCCATGCATCTCTCTCGCTTCCTCCCTCGGCACCTCTCTCCCCCTGTGGGCCTCTGTCTGGCCCCTCTCTCGGCCCTGCTCTCAATAGTAGTGTCCGAGGGCGATCTGGGCCCGGAGGAAGGCGATTGCCGCCTGGTTTGTGGCCGCCGTGCGTGGCGACTCGTAATAGTTGAAGATGTGGTGGGCATTCGACACGCGAACCATGTCATCGGTCAAGGACAGCTCATTGCGCAGCAGACGAAGAGTCTTCTCTCACATGGAGAGGGGGGGGGGGCAAGGAGGCCAGGGCCAGGGGGAAGCTTGTCAGTCAGCTTCATGCATGCGGCGCACCGCGGAGCCGGATACCTATCTTTCCTTGCCCGCGCCTTTGCCGGATACTCCCCCGCCTGTTGCTTGTCCCTTCCCCCCTCTAAGCCGTGGGTTCTTTTTTTCCCCTCTCCCCCCCTCCGCCGGTCGCCCGCCTGGCGGGACGCCCCCCACTGACCGGCTCCCGCGCCATGGCACATGCCGGCCCTTGGACCTGGTACGCACTTTCAGCTCCTTGTACAGGGACACGGACATGGGTGACGGGACGAGGGTGTCGCGCGTGCCGCTGATGCCGAACTGCGGCGGCAGCCACACCTCCTCGGTGCAGGGCAGTCTCCCCGCCTCAGCCGATGGCTTGGGCTTACCGTCGGTCCGTCGGGCCACCTGCCGGGCACGAATGTCGGCGATCATGTCCTGCACCATGTGATGCGGGGAAAAGCGCCGCGAGGTGGGGTCCCCATCGGGCGATCGACGCAAGAGGTACTCCTCCAGCAGGGTGGTTAGCTGCCGGTGTTTGATGAATTGCTGTTCATTGAGGAAATCCCCGACACCGAAGAAGTCCAGCACGGCAGCCACTCGGGGATCGGTGTCGCGCCGTGGATTGGTCAGATGCGCTCGAACGGCCTCGGCATCGGCCACAGGCGCCAGATCACCGGGGGCGGCCTTGTGCCGAGGTCCCGACACTGGGTCGGCGACCGGCCCGGCAGGAGCCGCCGCCGCCGCCGCCGCCGCTGCCACCCGGGTCCCGGCCACCTTGCCCACCTCGGCCAGTCGACGCTGGTGCTCCACGCGCGTGGCCGTGTGTGCTTGGCCGAGGGACAGAACAAGGGCAATATGACCGCCGGCCGAATCGCCGGCCAAAAACACGCGACGATGCTCGAGGAAGCTCGCCCCAGCAGGATGCAGATCCCCCGACAGGGGGTGGTCCCAGTCACGGGTGGGATTCATCCGGAGGAGGGCCGCCCGGCTGCCATGGACCCGACGGGCGCGCTCGACAAAGCGCGACACCGCGCGACCGGTGCGCACGAACTCCATGGCTCGGCGGCAGTCGCGCAGCATCTCCACCACGCTGTGTGCCCGCGGGCAGAGCCGGTAATTGCAGGTGGCCACCAGGAAGCCGGCACGGGCCAGGGCATATGTCATCGGCAGCGAGGCCAGGCTCTTGTCGCCGATGACCCAGGCCCCGCCGTGGATGTTGACCACCCGCGGGAGGGCCGCCACGGCGGCCAAGTTCGTCGGGTCAACATGGTCCGGGATCAGGATGTCCATGGTGAAATCGCTGTCAACCAGGCGCGATGCGGCCGTCGCCTGGGACACCCATGGGCGCCCGTTGGTGCCGCGTGCCAGGAGGGGGCAGAGCAAGCAGACAGGATCGTTAGCAACCTCCGCGGTGGGTGGTGCGCGCGCAGCCGGAAGCCGGTGCTTCGTCGTGGTCTTCGCCCTGTCGCTTTCAGCCTCCCCTTCGCCCCGTGTCTCCCTCTCGGAGTGTGTGTGCGTTTCCTTTCGCCCCCCCCCCCCCCTCCCCCCCGGGGGCACATGTGGCTTCTCCCCCCGTTCCTGGCCGCGTGGCATCGGCTTGGTGCGGCCGCCGAAAGACGCACCGCATACTCCTCGGCCGGGGGGTCGAGGAACTCGGCCCACGAGCGCCCGGCCACCATCTCCGGGTCCGTGGTGTCAGGCGGCAGGCCGGCGAAGTGCCGATCCCCACCATCTGCCCCCCCATGCCAGTAGAGGATGTGCTTGGTTTTGATGACGCCCGGCTGCGGGTCGAAGCACCAGGACCCGGTCAGGACCGAGCGCCAATTGAGGCCGCTGAACCACTGGTGTAGCAGCCCCCCCGGCAGGGGGGCCTGGCTCAAGCCCTCCAGCACATCGCGCTCCAGCGTGTCGAGCATGGTGGTGGCTTCGAATGGCCGGGCCTTGCGAATGGCCCGGCGCCGGATGGACGACAGGGCCCTGGCATCGGCACTTGGCGAGAGGGTCTCCTTGGCGACCTCCTCCTCTTCCGACTCGGACAGCTCCTCCTCGGAGTACTCCTCGTCCAGGGAGCCCGGGCTCCGGCTCAAGCGTGGTGTGGCCAGCGTCGACGAGCCGAACAGCTCGCCGGTCTTCGGGGCCAGCATTTGTAGCAGCTCCGGCGACACCTGCTCCAAGGTCCGGGCATTGGCCTTCTCCACCAGCTGGTCCAGTTCCTCCTCGAGGCGTTCCTCGGCCGCGGTCAGCGGGCGCGCGGCCCCATGCAGCCGCCCGAGGCAGGACATATTGCCGCACTGGTGATGCTGCTGGCCAGGCTGGCTGGCAGCCAGGTGGTCCTCCCCCTCGTCGAGGGGGCCCAAGTGGCCGGAGTTCGGCCCGGCACATGCGGCCTCATTGACAATGCCAAAGCTGCAGCAGCTTCCGGCCGAGGCGGTCCCCCTGCCGGCGGGGGAGCGCGAGGCGGCGCCGCCGGCCTCGGCGGACCGGAGATCCGGCGTGGGCCCGGAAAGCGGCGTGGCCGTCACCCGAGTGGACCGGGCCCGGCGTTCGACCAACTTCCAGCGCATCTGCGACAAGCGCAGGGGACGCACCGAGCGCAAATTGGCCACGGTGATGTAGGCCGTGGCGGCCACATTGGCCACCAGCCAAATGGCCACCAGCTGGGCTCCGCGGCTCGACAGCCACCGATACCAGATCCAATGGCCGGCCCCGGCGAGGAATTGCCGGGCCACGCCGGGCCAGCTGGCCGGCCGGGAGGCCAGGCTCTCGGCGGTCAGGCGCGCCAGACGCACGGTCACCGGCGACAGCAGCGTCAGGCTGGCCACCGGGCCGAAGGCCGTCTCGGCCAAATGCCACCAGCCTGCCGCCCCCACGAGGCCCATGATGTAGAGGCCGAGGAAGACCCACAGCACCGGGCTGGACTCCATCACATACGGCGGGTAGGAGTAGAGGATGATTTTGCCAAAGGTCACAGCATAGGGCGTGAGGGTGGTCACCAGGAAGAAGGAGAAGCATGCCTGGGCAAAGGCCAGGACGCCGGTTGTCATGGCCAGCAGCCGGTCCGGCTGGAGGAGTTCCCGCACCGTGTGTGTGCTGGCCACATGGAGCACCACGCCGAGGCTGACAATTCCAGCCCCGATGCCGGCGCCAAAGATCCGGTACAGCGACACGCCTCGCATTGGTGCTGTGTGTGTGTGTGTGTGTGTGTGTGTGTTGGGGGGGGGGGGGGGGATGGGGAAAGAAAAAGGGAAATAATGCGCGCCGCCTGCTTCCCCGGCGGCAGACAGGGACAGATACGGTCGGCCGGGCGTGGCGAGGAGCAGAGGCCGAGAGCAGGCTACACGGGCTCTTGGAAACCGGTGGTCGATTTGCTGTGGTTGTCTTGCTCGTGCTTTCGCGCTTTCTCGTTCTCTGCTTCCCCTCGTTTGGGCTTGCTCTCGTGCGTGCGTGCGTGCGTGCCTGCGCGCGTGTCGGCGAGCGAGTATGTATGTATGTATGTGTGCGTGTGCGTGTGTGTGTGTTTGCGCGTGAGAAGGTAGTAGGAAGGGGGAGGGTGATTTTGCAATGGCATGAAGGGGCATTTGAGGAGCCCTTTTGATCTGATGTAGACATTGGCACATGGCAGGGCGAAGCATGCGAGAGGGTGGAGGTGCGTCTCGCCGAAGGGGCCTGTCTGCTTTGCAGCCGGCCCTGGCTTAAGGTCCGCCCCCCCCCCTCTCCCTCCCTCCTCGGGCCTTCAGCCAGGGCGTGCCATGAAAGAGCGCAGCATCACCGGCGGGTGTGGCGCCATAGAAGCCCTCGCCCTTCTCCTGGCTCTCGCTCCCTGGAAGGAAGGGCGCTCCGCGGACACATGGACGCACGCGTGCTTGTCTGTGCGCGGAAGGACAGACACGCATCCGCGCGTTCTCAATGGCGAATGTCCCGGCTCCTACCCCACACCCACTAGGTGTCCGCCTCCCTCCCCGGGGCTCGGGCGGGGGCCGGATTGGCCCCCCCTCCTTGCGGATGGCAGCGTGAATTTCACAGCCCCCCAGCGTTCGAGCGAGCATGGGCCCCCCGCCCCCCCTCCGGTCAGCAGGGGGCCCCTTCGCCGGGAAATGCGGCCCCCCTTGGAGCATCTGGCGAGGTATGCTTCGGGGCGCCCCGTAGGAAGACGGCCCTCCCCGCCGCCGGGGCACCTACTTTCCCCCCCCCCCCTTTACCTCCCTTTCGGCTTCTGTCCTCCTGTCTCCGAAGGTGCCTCCAAGATGCGCGGGAGAGGGCCGCTGTGGTGTGCCGGTCGCCAACAGCCCGTCTGATTGTGGGGAAATACATGGATATCCACTCGTCTGGCAGATGCCCAGACCCTGCCGGCCTGCTGGGGGGGGGGCAACGAGACCCATGTTTGGCCCCGGGGGGAGAGTACTCTGGTGACCAACAAAAACACCCGATCTAAGGGGGGACGCGAGGGGCAACACGGCAACACCCGGACAGGCTACTACTGCCCCAGGAGTGCGGAGCATTGGCTTCCTGAAGGGCTGCGTCTCTCTCTCTCTCTCTCTCTCACACACACACACATACATACATATATGTAGGCACACGAACGCTCTCGCCCTGCCGAGCCTCTGCCCCCTCTTCGCTTCCCTCCGGCGCCCCTCTCGTCTCCGGCCACAGGGGCGTCGAGGACTGGACCAGCCAAAGGCACGACACTCAGGGCAGGGGCCACAGGCGGTCATGCCCCGCCCCTCGCCGGTGGGCGCATCTGCGGGGGTGCGGGGGGAGGGGGTGCACGGTGTTGGAGTGTCGCCCTCGGGGCATATCGTCGGTTTCCCACCCCATCCCCAGGGGGAATTGGATGAAATATTCACCTGAAAAATCCCCCGGCCCCGGGGGCGCCGCGGCAACATCTCACGAAAGGGTCGCCAGCAGATCGAGAGAGAGAGAGAGAGTGAGAGAGAGAGAGAGAGAGATCGCGTGCACCATGCCACTTGTATGACTTTCGCGGCTGGCTCCATCGAGAAACCTCCCCAATGCACGCACTCCCACTGAGCACCATCACTCCCCCGCTGCCCACCGCCCTCGGATGCTCACCCACGAGGCAGAGGTCTGACAGTGCCGACGCCCCTCCGGGCCTGCCTCCTTCGTCGCGACTGACGATGGTGCACGAGACAGGCGAAGGGCGAGCAGGGGCCAAGGGGGCGTTGGAGGCCGCGATGCCATGTGCTCACCCCCCCCCCCCCCCCTCCCCCTCCCCCCCAGCCCCCATACGTCTCGGGATATCTGGCCACCGGGGCGCCTGGCGCAATGGACACCAGATGTCACTCCCGGCGGTCGTACTGGCGGCTTAGCTCCCACTCCTCCTGGTCCTCTCACTGGCTGAGCCTACTAAAGGCAGGCATGCGCGTGGGCAGGCGCGTGTCTGCGAATGAAGGCCCTAGAGCACTGCCTCCGAAAGATGTGCCCGAGAAAGACCTCCAAAGGATTTCCTTAACACAAGTTGCCCCACACCGGGTCCCTCCCTTCCATGCGTCGCACGCCTCTCCTCCTGTGGGTGGTCCCTGGGTGCTGCTCTGCCAAGGAATGCCAAAGTCAAGCCGAGGCGATTGGAGTCTGGCAGGCCCCCGACCCCGCGTAGCCAGGGCCAATCGCTGCATGCCCTTTTATCTCCCTCAGGCTCTCTCGCTCGCCCGCTCTCCCTCCCTCCCCCCTCCCCCGCTCGGCCCCTCTGTCTTGCGCTGTCCCTCGGGCTCACATACCTTCAGGGGGCCGTGCTGCCCCGCCCCCCCCCCCCCTCTCTCTCGCTCGAGATGTGACCCATCGACAGCAGGTCGGAATCTTGTCATGTCTCTTTTTTTTTCCTCGCCAGCTGCCTTGTCGCTCCGTTCACTATTTCGCACATCCCTGTGCCGGCGCTTAATGCGATAGGACCAGCCATCATTAACCCCCCGGCGCCCCCCTTCCGGGAAGCCTCTCCCTCGCTGCCACCCCGGGCAAGGGGCCCGGGGGTGTGGCCGCGCCTGGCCAAGAGGCGAGGGCGATTTTCACGCCCCGGCCGGGACGCCCGAGCCAGACATGGGGGTTTTTACCTCGGCTCGGCTGACACACACACCGAAAGTGGCGGCCCCCGCCCTGCCCCAGGCCCGGCCGATCACCCCGCTCGATCGCTTGTCGCGGAGGCCCCGGCGGCGAGGCCAATAAGGGAGAGCGCGGGGCAGGGACCATCATTGTTGTCTCCGGCGTGAATCTGTCACAGCGCCGGCGTGTGGACATCGTGCAACCTGCCGGGGCCGGGATCCTTCTCACGCAGGTGCTCCGAAGCCCATGGTAGGCCGTCCCGGAGGGCGTGACTTTCGCGCGAACAACGGGGGCCAGCTGCCACTCGTGCGCTCGGGCCACGGCATGTCATCTGCCTTCTTCCCATCATCACATTGCTTAACTACATGTAGGTAACTCAGCGCGCTATGTGGGCCTGGGCGTCCTTTCAGGCGGGCGGGCGGAAGGACGGAAGGACGGAAGGGCGATGTCCTTTCGGAGCCCATCGGTCTCACATTCATTTGTCTGGCGTCCCAGCGCATTTTTCTCGGGGCCCAGGCTCTTCCGTTCATCCCGTGTACACAACAACACACATACACAGATACACATTCACGGCCAGCCATCACATCAGGCTGGCCTCTCTCTCTCTCTCTCTCTCTCTCGCCCTCTCCCTCTCTCTCTTTCCTCGATTTGCCTTTGGCAGTAGCTGCTCACTTGAACCCGCCGCTTCGCTAAGATAGCTGGCCGCTGCCTGCCCGGCCGGAGGACAGGCTAAAAGATCAAGGAAAGACGGAATGTGGGATCTCCATGCGTGCACACGCACGCGCGCGGAGGCCCGCTTTATTTTGGTTTCATTTTATGAGGGGCGAGGGGGAAGGTGATTGGACAACGAGACAGAGGGGGGGAGGGGGGAAAGCGAGTCGCTTGTGCTCCCCTGCGCGCATGAGGCCAGCAGGTGGAGCGCCCGAGGACATGCACGATGTGTGCGAGTGGGTGGGTGGGTGGGTGGGTGCGGGTGATCCGAGTGGGAGAGGAGGGTCCCCATCCACACGCAGCCATACACATCTTAAGGCACAGACACACCCACACACACGCGATTGCCCGCATGTGCGCGCCCCTCGCGACAGGAACACAGCGAGAGGGGGGAGGTGCACATGCGAACGCAGCAACTACTTCGCTGCCCTCCCGAAGGAAGGGGCACATTTTGCCAGATGGACATCCTCCATCTTGCCATGCCGCTTACTTCTCCTTGTTGGTGACCTTATCGACGAAGGCGAAGAAGCGAGACCAGGCCAGCTCGATGTCAGTCGGGTCGGTGGGCGGGGCGCCGAGGATCGGCCGCATACCGGCATACCACTCGGAGCTGTTGAGGAAGCCGTGGCCCTGCTCCTCATAGTTGAAGATCTCGTGCTCCACGCCAGAGGCGGCCAGCATGACGGCCAGCTGGATCGGGAGGCAGGGCATGGGCCAGGCAGATGCACCGCCGGCAGTCAGCAAAGGCACGGCGAGAGAGAGAGATAGATAGAGGAAGGAATGGAGGTGGCGCGGATGGGGAAAAAAAAAAGAGACGGCGGGGCAGGGGGAGAGGAGGCGGACGCACGCGAGCCGAGGCCTTGGGGTCGGAGATATCGAAGGGGTCCTTGACACCGAAGTGAGCCTAGGGCAGGGGGGAATGGCAGTGTCAGTGGTGGACTTCCTCATGCGTCGCTGGACGTGGGGCATGGGCAGGCGCAGCAGCAGGAGCATGTGGCGTGGCAATCTGGGCTCATTTTGCGACGACAGGAGCAAGGCACGAGGACAACCGAGTGTGTGTGTGTGTGTGTGTGTGTGTGTGTGTGTGTGTGTGTGTGTGTGTGTGTGTGCGTGTGTACCTGGACCGGCGCCTTGATCTGGGTCAGGTCGGCAACATCGGCCGAGGGGACGCCGTAGAAGCCTATGCGTGAATGACCAGCATCGGGCAGGGAGGAGGAAGGGGGAGACAAGAGGACGTCGGGCGATCGTGGTCAACACGTGCGATACAAGGGAGAGGAGGACGGGAGAGGAGGACGGGAGAAGAGACATGCCAGCCGTGGCCAGGCACCGAGGGGGGGGAAAAAAAGAAGAAGAAAGGAACAAGGAGGATGTAGGTACCAACAACACCGTCAACACGGTTCTCCGCCTTGGCAGCAGTGGCCAGGGCCAGAATGCTGCCCATGCAGAAGCCAGTCAGCACGACAGGGCGGTTGACCCCGGCACAGCCCTTGGTCTCGCGGACATGCTTGATCAGGGCGTCCAGGTCGGTGATGGCCTTGGCGAAGTCCAGGTCGTTCATCAGGTGCTCGGCCTCGGCCACCTCCAGGGTGGACTTGCCGCGATAGAGGTCGGGGATGACGGCCTCGTAGCCGCGCGCGGCGATCTGCCGGGCGTGGTCCTTGACGTCGCCGTTGATGCCCCACCACTCCTGTTGGTGCGACATGGTGCATGAGGATAGGGGCGGGGGTGGGGGGCGGGGGGGGGGGGGGGGGGGGGGGGGGATGCATGCAGAGGGGTCAGCAAAAGACACGGCCGGGCGCGTGGCAGGAGCCCGGAAGAGGCACGGACCTGGAGGACGATGACCGCGGGGTCAGAAACGTCGCCGAAGCGCAGGAGGGGGAGGTTCCCGGCGGAGTCCTTGTGCTCCTCGAGGGACTTGGCGATCTGGTTGAAATCCTTGGGCATGTTGGCGGCGGCGACGGCAGCGGAGGTGGTAAAAGTCCGGGCAGCAGTGGCGGTGATACCGGAAGTGGCAATGCGGGAGAGCATGCTTTGGGGAGAGGGGGGGGGAGAGGGCTGGAAGCCGAGGGATGGAGGGTGGTGGCAGAAAGAGCGGGCGTCGTCAGCGGGGAAGGGGCCGGTGCATGAGCGGGCCACACACACACACACACACATCCATGACAGAGTGTGGAGTGTGCGAGTATAATCCGGGGGGGGGGGGGGGGGGGGGGGGGGGGGACGAACGGTCGAAGACCAGCAGCAACGTGGAACGAAGGAGCGGAGGGGGGGAGCGAGAGAGAGAGAGAGAGATACCGCTTCGCCCGGGCGGGACGTTGTGGAATTTGAAAGGTGTCGCCAGGAGCAATCCTCAGCAGAGGGGCGCGACCGAGTCTGTTCCACCCTCCCCCTCTCCGCCCCCCGCCCCCCGCCCCCCGCACTCCGTCCTTGGTGGCTCCTGTGCAACTCCCGACCGAGCCAGCCTGTGCGAACATTCACTAGTGCCGGGCCAAGCGATCTCCCCGCAAGACTGACGGACGAGGCACGCCGGCAATTTTCCCGTCCCCCCCCCCGCCCCCCCCCCCCCCGCCACCGCCGGAAGCGACCGTAGGCACGACCGCAAACCGGTTTGCCACCCTGGGTACCGGGGCTTACTCGGCACCAAGCCTCCGGGGGGGAGGGAGGAACGCGCAGGTTGGGAGGGGGCCGGGTTCGCCCCAATAGAGTCGCCCATTCGCGCACACAGATCGAGATCCCGACACAGCGACCGGGAACACGGGCCCGCTGCGTCTAGTCTCCAAGACGTGCCGAAGGGGCAACCGGCCAGGGGCAGGGAGCACGGGCAACTCGTCGGGTGGCTTGGGCCGGGCGATCTGACCCCCTCCGGGGGGGGGGGGGGGCGGGCGCTGGAGGCTGCCGCGCCCACACCCCAACGTTCGGCCGCAGCCGCGGCCCGCTCTCGGCACAGTTGCCGACGAACGGCCCTCCCACGCCGGGGCACACAGCCCAAAGGCCGATCGCCGCGTTCCGGAAGATTAGCTGCAGTAAAAAAGACCACAGCTCAAGCAACTCTCGCCCGAGAAGCACCCTGCCCCCCCCCCC